TTAACCCCCAGTATACAAACATTCGCTGGCCTTGACTTTGCGTGACTTGGGAAATATTTCCAATAATAGTCTTCGTTCAGCCATTCAGTACCCAAAGTAGCTTTGGGTACTGAGTGTAGTCAGGAAGACCAGGTCCCTGTCTTAAGCATGCAGATTGCATTAGTAAGGAACAAGGTGACACTGTGACAAGGTGGGGAGAGGAGGGATTTCAGGTAGGTTATGCTTCAGAGGCGAGATCAGGCAAGAGAGATCTCTAGGACCTACCACTTGATGTGTAACCTGAAGGAAGAGAGGAAAGCAGAGACCACTTACCCATTTAATGGCTTATACCCTGTATACGTCATACAAACTGATGGAAAGGGAAGACCTTTGTAGATGACACCCGTGGAAGGCATTTGAAAATTCCAGGAGTAATTCTTTTCCTGAGGATTATTTTGGAGGAGCTTATATTTCAGGAACAGTCTAAAGGGTCCCTGCAAGTCTCAGTGATATGTGATTGTATATGCTCTGATTTTACCGTCTGGGCTGCTAGGCTATTAATCTAGTAATAGGATGTCCACTTTCATAAGAATATTCATGCATATACCATACTTCAGTTAATATGTCACACAAAGATATCTTTAAGCAGAACAAAAACAAGCATGAGGCCCACAGTTCAAGTCCCAATACCAGCACAACAAAACAAAACAACTAGATAGAGTATAAATTTGAGGAATTACAGCTATGGTTGTATCTCAGTCTTCTTCTCCTTTCAACATTCTCATTACCCATCTATCCCTTAAATCAACTGTAAGTGTAGAGATTGTGTAACTATACGTACTCACCTACTTATTAGTGGTTTCTGAAAAGTATTAGTTTTCTTACCAGTATACCTGATACCACGGTCATGACTTATTAATTACAAATAACTACTGTGGCCTTGGCCTTGCTTACTCTTTCTCAAATAAAATGACTATAAGAAAGGTAACACCAAGAAGTAAGTCTATTTAAAATTTGGGGGTTTTCAGCTGAGATGTGATGGAATCCTGGCAGCAGAAATTTCAGAAAAATCCCAGTGCTAAGAAATGGATGAGAAAGAAAAGCTTGTCACGAGGGGCTGACTCACGGGAGCAGGCCTGCTAGAACCTGCGTGTGGTTCTCCAGGCTTGGCTGGCTGACAGGCAGCTTGCAGAATGCATCCGTGCAGTTTGGGCTCATTTGCAACCTTTCAGTGACATGCCTGCCTAGCGAGTTATGCAAAATGTGGTTAAACCTACGTGGTAGTTCAAAGACCTGCTTTACCCAAGCAGTTTTGATTTCTTTTGAACAGCGCCAAAGCAGTTGTACAGTGCCACAGGCTCTGAAATACTTGCCTCACCTTGGAATTTGGAAATTAACGTAGGTATTTGGCCAGTTAGAGAATGTAAGGTTTAAAATATTTTCTTTAGAGAATATGAAGGTGAAAGCCCCTTGGCCCCTTAAAGAATTCATGGTTGCTAGGCAGGGTGCCCTGCCCTGGCTCCTGTCCTTTTACCTAAGTTTGGTGGGTGAGAACATTACTGAGTATAAACTGATGCCGAGGTGCTGGCCTGCGTACTCACCCTTCATACTCAAAGACCAGAAGAGAACCCGGCCTTCACTGGTCATATGTGCCCAGCCTCAGAAGAAATCACAGCAGTAGATGCAGTGGGTGTTTCTTATTAAAAGCTTGGTTTCTTCTGGGTCCCCTGCTGCTGCCTGCCTCCTAGTATCTTCTGTTATATTGACTCCCCTCCAGTGATGTTGAACCCACCTCTGGAATGTTTTGTGGTGAACATTGGTTGGGTCCGCAGACACTGACAGTTATACCTATGTGTGCTGAGATTTGAGATAAACTTCATTCTCTATCAAGTAAATTGTTCTCACAAATTATTTGGGTGAAATACTTAGCATAAGTGTCCTGCAAGCTTGCATGGCTTATAATTTCTTTGGGCATTCTTTGTACATAAACCTTTTGCAAGCTTCCCTGACAGAGCACTGTCCCTACCTTTTGGGTCTAGAAGAACTGTTGTACTTTGAGGCTTATTTTATTATTGTGTACATAATTTTCTGAAGAAAAAAAAAGTGTTTTTTTTATGGTACCTTGAAACTCAGAACTCTGTTTCAGATACCTTGATTCACTTCAGGAGAGTATCTTCATGGAAGTTAGGGTTATTCAGTAGCTAGGAGAAAGCATGAAAGAACTTTTAATCCTCTGGGTAGTAGGTGTGGTGGGATTACATTATCATTTGTTACAGAACAAATACTGTGACTAAGACTCAAGGGGTCCATTTATGCAGTTTTGTTGTCTGTGGCTGATAGTAGATTCACCTCACCTTTTATCTTACGGGTATGTTCCTCAGCCAAGCTACCATGGAAAGGAGGAAATGTGTGAATTGACATGTTCTTTCATTCCTTATTGATGGCTAAGTACCAAGTCTGTGACTCAAGGGTATAGTTTCTAAAATATAACTTAGCTTCTATTTGATAAATATTGAGCAAAGTCTACATTACAAGTAGCTAAAAGTTTTGGTCTGTTTCAGAATCTCAATCACAGGATTTTTTTAAAGTATGTTTATTAGTGAGATAGTTATTTGGCAGGGTTACTGCTATTCATGTAGATGATCATTTATAGAAAAGCCAAGTTTCATCACTTACTTTTATTAGAAAATATAGTGATTGTGTGTGTGTGTGTGCGCGTGTGCGTGTGTGTATACATGCATGCATGCCATGGGTCTTGAACTCAGGGCCTGGGCTGTTTCTGAACTCTTTTACTGAAAGCTAGAGCTCTACCATTTAGAGCCACAGTGCCACTTCCAGTTTTCTAGTGGTTAATTGGAGTTCAGCATCTCAAACTTTTCTGCCCAGCTGGCTTTGAACTGTGATCTTCAGATCTTAGCCTCCTGAGTAGCTAAGAGTACAGGTATGAGCTACCAATGCCCAGCTTAAATATAATGATTTTTAACAAGGCTCCCCTAAATAACTGCCTACTTACTTTAGTAGTAGGTAATGGGTTTGCAGTAAGAACTGTTGGTCAGATTATTAAAGAGGCATTTTTAAATAGACTAAATGATTTTTAAATTGTAATATAATTTCCTTTTGGGGAATATCAGTAATATTCAAATAGGTACTCCTTCCACCCCCATACCTCTTTCAGTTTTACTTGTAGCATTTCCTCAAAAGGTCCTCTAAAATTTAGGGGAAGTGAGAGGGAGCAACTAGTGATATTCCAAGGAGAGAAATGTTCAAGTGTGAGAAAAAGTCAGATTTGAAGAAGGTTTAATTTCAATAATAAAGTGTTATAAGTTAGCATGCCTAGAGGTGTGTGTGTGTGTGTGTGTGTGATGCGTGATGCGATGCTGGTACTGAGACTTGAACTCAGGGCCTGTTCATTGTCCCTTAGTTTTTTCTGCTCAAGGCTTGTACTGTACCACTTGAGCCACACCTCCACTTCCTTTTTTTTTTTTTTTTTGTAGTTAATTGGTTTTAAGAGTCTCATGGACTTTGCCCATTGGCTTGACTCAGATTTCAGCTTCTTATGTAGCAATTTGGATTATGGCATGAGCCACTGGCCCTGGTAGATGTGTTTGAGAAAATAAGTGACTTATTTTTAACAAGGAGGAGAACAATAAGGTTTCTGTTGCCATCCCTTCCAGTGACTAGTGTTGAAGTAGATATTCCAAAGAAGATAAAAGAAGATTTTTTTTTGCATCTTCAATATTCATAAATTGAACTCTGGGCTTGGGCACTGTCCCTGCACTCTTCAGCTCAAGGCAAGCGCTCTACTGCTTGAGCCACAGCACCACTTCTGGTTTTCTAATAGTTTATTGGAGATAAGAGTCTCAAGGACTTTCCTGCTCGGGTTGGGCTGGCTTTGAACCACGATCCTCAAATCTCAGTCTCCTGAGTAGCTAGGCTTACAGGCATGAGCCACCAGGGCCTGGCTTGCCTTGATAATTTCTTATATCTCATTTTGTATTTAATTCTTTTATAGCACTTTTTCTATCCAAATGATCAACATTCACTCAATATTTTATCATTCTCCCGCTGTTAGACACTATGAAACAAAATAATTTGAATTTGAATGCATTGTAGATGTTACTCCTCTCAGTTTCCCCCTTCCACTTTCCCTCCCTTTCCTTTTTATCTCCCTCTTTCCCCTTGGTTCTAGCTCCTTGTTCTCTCTCAGGTTATTTGCTTTGTTGACTTGGACCCTGTCCTCACTGATAAGGGGTGGAGAGCTGAGCTGCAGAGCCGGAAGGAACACTTGCTCTAGTCATTTCTCTTCATCATGGAGACCTGTGGAAGACAGGGCTTCAAGATGGGAAAGGGCTTGGATTGAAGCAGTTTTTGTCTTGAAATTATGAAATTTGTGAAGTAAACTAGTTCTTATTCTGTTGCTCCCTTGCATCGTTAGGCATAATTTCTGTTTATATGCTTAAAAAGTAATTAGGCTGGGTCCCTGTGGTAATCCTAGCCATCGGAGGGTTGGAGAAGGGAACAATGAAATCTGAGGATCATTGTTCCAAGCCATCCTAGGTAGGAATAGTCAGGAGATTCTTAATCTCCATTTAAAGACCAAAAAGCTGGAAGTGGAGTCGTGGCTCAGGTGGCAGAGTGCCAGCCTTGAGCAAAAAAGTTGAGTGTAGGAGCCCAAACCCAGAATTCAAGCCCCAAAGACCAGCACACACAACAAATACATGAGTAATTAGAAGGCCTGAGGCTGGTGACTCACTGATATAAATCTTAGCCACTCTGGGGGTTAAGAGCTGAGGATTCCGGTTTGAAGTGGCCTGGGCCACTTCTGGGAGACTCTTATCTCCAGTTTATCAGCCTAATGCCTGAAGTGGAGGTGTGGTTCAGATGGTAGAATGCCAGCCGTGAGCAGAAAAGCTAAGCAACAGCAAAAGGCCTTCATTATAGCCACTGTACTGGCAAGCCCACAGGCACAGGATACACACAGAGTTATCTGAAATTCTCTACTCTGTCCCTGCCCATTTCAGCATGCTGGAAGATGACCTTCAGCTGAGTGACAGTGAGGACAGTGAGAATGAACAGGTAAGTTTTGTGTATCTGGTGATAGCCAGAACCTTTTAAATCCAAGGCACATACCTGAGTTGCATATTCTAACCTAAATATTTTTGTTCTTCTTTCTGGGTCTTCTCCCCTTTTTGTGAATTCATAGACCACAGAGAAGCTACCTTCCTCAGCTGCACCTCCAAGGTACTGTCTGTGGGTTTCTCCTTCTCTGAGTAGAAAATTAATATAGTTTTACTCAGTAAGAAGATAAGGCCTTACCTTAAAATTTTTAGTTTCCAGCTGGGAATGTGACTTAATGGTAGAGTGCTTGCCTTGCGTGCATGAAGCTCAGCACCACATAAACAGAAAAAGCCAGGAGTGGCACTGTGGGTCAAGTGGTAGAGTGCTAGCCTGTAGCAAGAGATGCTAGTGCCCAAGGCCCTGAGTTCAAGCCCCAGGACTGGCAAAAATAAATAAATAAATAAATAAATAAATAAATATATAAAATTTATGTATATATAATATACATATAGCTTCTTTAGGGATATGAAAATGGAGGATCACAGTTAAAAGAAAGTGCTAGCTTAATATTTTGGAAGCTAAAAAGATAGTTGTTATTAACACTATTAAAGTAGAAGAGTCTCCATACCCGGCAACAACTAGTTGTTAAAATTCTTGGGCTGGGTGTGGTAGCACATGCCTATAATCCCAGCTCTAGGGAGGCTGACCCAGAAGGATCACGGGTTTTTAAAGCCAGCCTGAACTACACGGACAGACCCTGTCTAAAAAAAAATGTTGTAGGGGCTGGGAAGGTGGCACAATGGTATAGTGCTTGCCTCGCATGCATGAGGCCCTCGATTCGATTCCTTAGCACCACATAAACAGAAATGGCCAGAAGTGACGCTGTGGCTCAAGTGGTAGAGCGTTCGCCTTGAGCTGAAGAGCTGAGGGACAGCGCCCAGGCCCAGAGTTCAGGCCCCAGACCAACAACAAAAAATTTGTTTTAGAATTTAAAAATACATTTAAGATGGTTTATCATCAGTCTTGTATAACCAGCATTATTTATGTTCTTAGTTATACCTATTTTCATATTATTACAACTGTGTTAAAAAATGGTCTGTGGTATATTTAAATTTGGTGAGAAATAACACTTTTTCCAGTGTGCGCCAGCCATATTTTAGAAAATGTGATAGTTTAGTTTTTTTTTTTAAATGAGACCCATTTGAACTATTTTTTCAGTATTTTCTCCTGTTACTAACTGCAGGGATTTAAGGTGACAAGTTCCTGCCCTTCATGAATTCAATTACTTTACCCCCTTGATAGGAATTCAAGCATTCAGAGACAAGATCAACAATAAAAGCATGCCTAATATGGTTGGGATTGTAGTTAATGGTGGAAGAGGCCCATGTAATTACACAGACTTGTAGGTTCATAAAGTTGCTTGTTTATTTATATCCAGTTTTGTTAGCATTTCTAGTGAGTCATATTTACTCACAACAGGAAAAATTAGTCTAATGTAAAAGTGGAGGAAAAGCAAAAGAAAACCCCCAGGGTGGCAGTTTCCTTGAAGTATGTTTCCCTCTGCAGCCACTGGACTCAGTTGCTGCAGGTGGGCAGTGTGGACAGACAGTACAGACAGGAAATGTGGACAAGGAGCCAGAGCTGACACAGCATTCTGTATGGGGAGACTGGGATTGGTACAATATGTTTGTTTTAAAGTCACCTCAATTAGTGCTTTTACTTATTTACTATTTTTTATTCTGAGTTCTCAATAAGCATTTGTTTTGAGCTGGGCACCAGTGGCTCACGCCTATAATTATAGCTATTCTGGAGGCTGAGATCTGAGGATCACAGTTCAAACTCAGCCTGGGCAGGAAAGTCTGTGAGACTCTTATCTCCAATAGCCACTCAAACACTGGAAGTGGTGCTGTGGCTCAAAGTGGTAGAGTGCTAGAGCAAAGAGCTCAGGGACAGTGCCTAGGCTCTGAGTTCAAGCCCCACGACAGGCCCCCTCCTTCCCCCGCCAAAAAAGAATTTGTTTTGAAACTATTATTTTCAAACAGATTTGGAAGCTTTCAAGATTATAGTTAATGATATGCTGCTGTAACTAAGAGCATCTCAGGCAAGCTTTTAGGATTGCATATGACTGCAATTCCATGTGTTTAGTAGTGATCTGTATGTTTTCTCATTTACCTAGAGTTATTGGTCTGTTTTTGGAACAGTTCATCTCCAACCATTCATAAAGGATGGCTTATTTATAATTCCACCAAGAAGTGTACATGAGTTCATCTTCCTCCTCAGTGGTATCTCCCTAGCACACAGTTCTGAGGCAGAGAAAATAGGGAGATTTGCACTTGGAAGTTTTTCTTTTATACCTTGATTTCTTTTGGCTATGTATGAGGAGCCAGATAACTTAAAGCACCAGTAGTGGGCTGGGAAGGTCGCTCAGTGGTAGAGCGCTTGCCTTGCATGCATGAGGCCCTGGGTTCGATTCCTCAGCACCCCATAAGCAAAAAGAAAAAAGCTGGAAGTGGTGCTGTGGCTCAAGTGGTAGAGCCCTAGTCTTGAGCTGAAGAGCTGAGGGACAGCGCCCAGGCCCAGAGTTCAGGCCCTATGACCAGACCCAAAAAAAAAAAGCACCAGTAGTCCATATTTTAGCCTTTCTAGGCCATGTCCATCTCTTGGTGTGACACACATGTAGGCCTAGACAGCTGTGTTGGCCTTGGTTACTGACTTTGGATGTCAGGCCCCCAGCATCTAGTTACATTTTGTGTGGCTTGACCTGTTCCTCAGGAGGTAAGTGCAACAAGTCTCTTCTGTTTTGTGCAGTTTCCAGATGTGCTCTTGTAAGGACTTGTCACTTTCTCTTAAACCACTTTTACCCCCCTCTCTGCCAGTAATCAGGTACTAGTGAGGCTTCCTTCTGAAAAAGGCAGGAACGGGCAGGGGTCTTCTAATCTTGTCCCTGATTGCTTCACAGTGCTCCACAGTCGCTCCCCGAGCCTGTGGCATCGGTGCGCTCCAGCAGTGCTGAGTCAGAAAGCACCAGTGACTCGGACAGCTCCTCAGATTCAGAGAGCGAGTCCAGCTCCAGTGACAGCGAGAATGAGCCCCTCGAAACCCCCGCTCCAGAGGTACTGTGTCCCCAGGGCCCATCCAAGATGGCAGATGGGCATGCTGGTTGTCAGGGTGGAGTGCTCCTGAGGTGCAGGTGGCCCGGACTCTGAAACCCAGCCCTTAGGCAACACTTCCCTGCTCCCAGGTGCTGTGGAGCGCCTGGTTTGTTTGCTAATAGCTTACCAAATATTTGAAGATTTGGAGATACATCTTCTCCCTGGTTAAAACTATAGCTTCTTGTCAATGGCTACTAGTGCAGTTTATTAAGAATGCTTGCACACCATTTTCTTCTCCTTTCTTTTGAAAAAGAGAACTTGTTTTTGGTAGGATCCTGTTTTAATATTAATGCAATTTCTTTGTGAAATTTCAGGAATGCATGAATTAAGGAAAGGCCTGGTTTAGTCAAGGGAAGGAATGTGAACTACAAATAAGTCAATGGGGAGTCCTGTTATTGAGTCATTAAAAGCCTTGCATTAAATTGATGACAAGTGATTTTTGCCGAGGTTGATTCTTGGCTCCCTTCTGCCCATGTAAAGGTGAAATAGACATGCTTCTCAGCAAGAGACATGGTAAAGATGAACAAACCAATGAGACTGAAACCTCAAGCACTAATATGTAGAAAATTTGTGTGATGAACTGGATGGCTGAGCACAGAAGTTGTAACAGTTGACACGCTTGCCCTCAGAACCTGGTAGCAGTATAAAAGTCATGCATGGGAAGGTCACTAGTGAAGTGGGAAGACACACTTGTTTTGGTTTTGATGAACGAAACCATCACACAGCACATCTAGGGAAAACCCTCTGCACAGTTAAGGCGAGACTGTCATTAGTATTTCTGTATTCATTTCTGCAGTTTAGAAAGACGCTGATTTTACTAGAACATTGGTTAGGAACATCTGACATCATGTAGAGAGGTTTCTGGGTTTGTCTGGGGACAAGGGACATTGAGGAAATATATCATTATTTAGAAGCAACTCTGTTTTCTGGGGTCTTTGTTTCTTGCGGGATACTAATTTCTACTGAAATAATTTCTGTGTCTTGGGGAAAAGGAGGGTGAATACGCTATGCAGACAACTTGTTTGTGTTATTCAGTGTTAATGGTTCTCAGAACCATCTTCAATAAGAAAACTCATGCTTAGTAGACTATTGGTATAAAAATATAGTTCAAATGCAAAAAGATAGGGTGGATTGGCTGAATAATTGAAACTTGAAAACAACTTTAATCTGGTATTTGTAATAATGGAATTTATATCCCCTTATCAAGAAATTATTAGAGCAAAGCCAGATAAGATGTTGTGCTGCGGTAATCTCAGCACTCTAGAGATAGAGGAGGAACTCAAGGCCAGCTTGAGCTATACAACAAGACTTTTGAACAAAAAAAAAAAAAAGAAAGAAACTATAATATATTAAAAAGAAAATTGTACATGTTACTGGGTGCTGATGGCTCCTACCTGTAATCCTAGCTACTCAGGAGGCTGAGATCTGAGGATCACAGTTCAAACCCATCTCAGGAAGGGAAGTCTGTGAAAGTCTTCTCTCCAATTTACCACTAAAAATGCCTGAAGTGCAGCTGTGGCTCAAATGGTAGAGTGCCAGCCTTGAGTAAAAATGCTGAGTACAGGTTCTGAATTCAAGCTCCCGTCCCAGCCCAAAAAAAAGAAAGAAAAAAAAGTAGATGTGAAGGAGAATGCTTTTGCCGTTGTTCATTCCCAGTATTAGAGCTTGAAACTCTGGGCCTCTTGGTTTCACTTGGCTTTTTCACTCACAGCTAGCACCAGGCATGAGCCACCAGTACCCAGCCCTACTTTTTTTTTTTAATGCTAGGAAAGTTGCTTTTATGCTTATTTTTACTTATGTCATTGAATGACATGTTTGAGGGATGCTGAGCCCTGGAACACCATGCACATACCACAGAGCTGCCACTGAACTTGGGACCAGCCATCAGGGGTTCTACTTCAGTGTCGGTTTTCTAATGGGAGACAAAATGTAGATCTTAGCTTTTCAAGATAAGTAGGACACATTGCCACCCAACTACTTACAAGTAAAGTTCAGAAAATGCCTTACTGTTCTAGGATGTTTATGAGTTTGCTCAGCTTTCTCATGTATTCATTATCCAGTGTTTGGAAGTAAACTACTTTTGTGTTAATTGCTTCTTCAACTCTTAGAGCTTTTAATAAACTATTTGATTTAAATGCCTGTCTTTTTTCTTTTTCTTTTTTTTTTGTCGGTAGTGGGGCCTGAACTCTGGGCCTGGGCACTGTCCCTCAGCTCTTCAACTGTAGCGCTCTACCACTTGAGCCTCAGCCCCACTTCCGGCTTTTTCTGCTTATGTGGTGCTGAGGAAACAAACCTAGGGCCTCATGCGTGCAAGACAAGCACTCTACCACCGAGCCACCTTCCCAGGCCCTGCCTGTCTTTTTTCTTGTTTGTAAAGAGTAGAAATATGAGAATTCAGATGGTGGCACTTAACTTTAAAATCTGATCTTTTTTCACATCTGCTTCCCCTCCCCCCCCCACTTGTTATTCCTACATTTGTTGGAAATCTGTTAGAGTATAAATTCTGTATTCACTATGGATCTGAGTTTTAACTTTATGTCCTTTTAATTCCACTTTTGATGCCTTTCATTTTCTTTAAAAATTATTTTTAATTGCAAACAACCATGAAATTTTATTCTAAAACCAGGTATATATTGCCTATGACTCAGAAGTTCTTTGTTAGAACCATAATTCATTTAAAATGAACTTTTTCAGATTTACAATTAAGAGAAGTAAAGGGACATGTAGTCAAAACAGTAAAATGCTTTAAAAAAATACTGATTTACTCTTTTCATCCTTCTGATTTACAGTGTGTGAGTTGTGCCAGCTCTGAGGAGAATGAAAAGAGCAGAGGGAAAAGGAGCCTTAATCCTCTCTGGCACTTACCTGATTAAAAATTATAGAGTATTTAAAATTAATCCCTTATCCAAATATCATCCCCCTCTCAGTATCCAATGGATCTGTCATTTTCGCAGCTTTGTTAGGTACACAGAAATGACTTCTCTTCCCTTTTTTCTTGTCTTCTTCCCCCAACTCAGTTTTACCCTGAAACTGGGCCATAGGCCTCACTTTCGACACGTAAGACTGTGTGGAAGAAAATGTGTTATTTCTGTAACCAGGACGTTTCTTTAGGGATTGCTAAATGGATCTCAATACTGCCCTGATTTGAGTGAGGGGAGCAGAGACACAGGACAATAGGAATGACTTCTGGGTTCACACAGGAACACTCTTTCAAGATGCTAGTCAGTTTCGAGCTGCAGTTGTAAGCACAGCTAGTGGGTGAAAGGTAGGGCACGAAGGGCTCAGTTCCTGCCCCAGTCAGTCTTACTGTATCTTAACTGCCTTCTGGAATTCCTTCACCACTGATGGCACATTCCATTGATTCTCTGTAGGAACTCAGGATTGACAAGTATATGTGCTTGTCTTTTCTCTAACCTTAATAATCACCTTGCCCTGTTAAACTATTGCATGTAGATTTATCGACAGAATGCCTTGATACATAATAGTGATTCTCTTCTCTCTCTCCCTGACCTGAAATTCAAATAACAGCAGGGAAGTAGAGTGGGTATAAGTGTAGGAAGCTGTAAGGAGATAGAGTATCCAAAGAACAGGAGAAGGAAAGCAGAAAAAGAGAAATCAGGTGGTCATTGTTCTAACATATGATCCTACCTTGGCTAAAGTGAGTTCACTTGGCTGCGTAGTATAAAGTCTGAAAATCAGAATATGCCTGTGATACACCAAGAAGTTTGTCACTTATAAATGTTTGTCATGTTTTAGACTCACTAAAGCTAGCTGGGTGCTGGTGGCTCATGCCTGTAATCCTAGTTACTAAGGAGGCTTGAGATCTGAGAATCGCCATTCTTAGGTTTGGAATGATGCCTGTCTCAAGGGACAGCCCTGTATAATTATATCATCATTGATTCGGTAACATTTTTTTTTCTTTATTTCCTTATTTGTAGCCTGAACCTCCAACAACAAACAAATGGCAGCTGGACAACTGGCTGACCAAAGTCAGTCAGCCGGCGGTGCCCCCTGAGAGTCTAGGAAGCACAGAGTCCCCACACCGGCATCCAGACAGCAAGGGAAGTAGTGACAGTAGCACGGGCCAGGAGCATTCTGAATCCAAAGACCCTCCTCCCAAGACCTCCAGCAAAGCCCCCCGGCTTGCCCCCGAGGGCCCCCACGCTGGGAAGAGGACTTGTCAGAAGTCTCCTGCACAACACGATCCTCCAAGACAAACTGTTGGAACCAAACAACCCAAGAAACCTGTCAAGACCTCGGGGCAGGTGGATTGCAGAGCCAGCTTGCCGCTAGACAGTGAGCCAGGCCTTTCGTACAGCACAAAAGAGCAGACTTCCAAAGACAAGCCCAAGGTGAAGACGAAAGGAAGGCCCCGCACCGGGGGGAGCAGGGACACCAAGCTCACTGCACCTGCTGCCAGCGAGAAGAAGAAGCACAAGAACTGTCCCCCAACCCCCTCCAAGGCCCTCTCAGGCCCCGCGCCTCCTAAGGACAGTGCGGGGCCTCGAACCCCGGAGCACTTTGCTCTGGCCCCCCTGACTCAGAACCAGGGCCTACCCCACAGTGGCAGCAGTGGCAGCAGGACTAGTGGGTGCCGACAGGCAGTGGTGGTCCAGACAGATGGCCGCAAAGACAGACTGCTGTTGCCTTTGAGTGACACCAGGTTGCTCTCACCGCTCAGGGACACTCCTGCCCCACAAAGCCTGGTGGTAAAGATAACCCTAAACCTTCTCACTCGGATACCCCAACTACCAGGCAAGGGCAGCCGCCCAAGGAAAGCAGAGGAGAAGCAGCCGTCCACAGGGAAGAAGTGCGAATCTGAGAAGAGAGGTGCAGAAGACGCCAGCAAGATGGCCAAAAAGAGGAAGGTGAGTACGGGAAGGAGACCATCCCCCTTCACATGCGGCTCGCAACCCGAGCATCTCTTAAACTCAATTCAAATGGTCACAAAGGACTGGAAATGCTTTCTCTCATGAGATGTGCCTTGGTCCTCCTCCCTGAGTTCCTCTTTGTCTGCCCTTTGATGTTTCCATCCTAGATCAGGAGTCTTCATCAGTCATTGAAGAACATAGCTGCTTTTAGCATTCTTCTTTCCCCACCCCCCGGGCCTGGACGCTGTCCCTCAGCTCTTCAGCTCAAGGCTAGCACTCTACCACTTGAGCTACATCACTACTTCCAGTTTTCTGGTGGTTTTATTGGAGATAAAAAGTCTCATGGTCTTTCCTGCCTAGACTGGCTTTGAACCGAGATCCTCAGATCTCAGCCTCCTGAGTAGCTAGGATTACAGGCGTGAGCCACCAGCGCCCGGTTCCCTGAGCTTTTTTTTGTTTTTGTTTTTGTTTTTTCTCAAGGTTAGCACTCTACTACTTGAGCCACGGTGCCACTTCCAGCTTTTTCTGTTTATGTAGTACTGAGGAATCAAACCCGGGGCTTCATGCATGCTAGGCAAGCACTCTACCACTAAGCCACGTTCCCAGCCCATCCTTTCCTTTCCTTTCCTTTCCTTTTCTTTTCTCTTTTCTCCTTCTCTCCTCTCCTCTCCCCTCCCCTCCCCTCCCCTTTTTTCACTCAAGGCTAGTTACTCAACTTTTTGCTGGATAATTGGAGATAAGGATCTCATGGACTTTTTTTGCTTGGGCTGGCTTTGAACCGCGATCCTCAGATCTCAGCCTCCTGAGTAGCTAGGATAGCAGGTGAAAGATGCTAGTGCCTGGCATCATTGTGGGATTATGTTTTCAGATAACACTCTTAAACACCAGTTACTTTGGCTCTAGAACTTAAGATTTTACATAAGTTGAAATGTTGTATTAGTGTATGGAATTACTGACAAAAAACTTCTCTATAAAAACTTATTCTTCTAGTATGAGCCTCTTAATACCAGTATTATTTCCATATTTTAAAAATAACTAAGGAGTACCTAACCTGTGTTAGAACTATTAAACATCTGGTTAGGGTATCTTTTGGAATAAGATAGCCTGACGGAGTACATTGTAAAGTACTGAAAATTTGTCATTTGATAGGGATTTTGGAAGTTTCATTTGAGGAATGGATGCAAGGGGTTCCTGCATTATTTAAGACTCTAATCTGTTCCTTTGACATACAGCTGTTTGGGAGAATATTCTTCTTTCCCTTCTTCTGATTCATTGAGCTGGATTTTTTTTTTTTAACTTCTTTGAGAAGAGGAAAGACCTATGTTTTCCCCAAGGTCATTCCCAAGCCAGTAGACAAAGTCACAAGAAAGGCCAACTCCTTCCTGCTGAGAAGGAATATAATTCTTAACACTCTTCTTCTAAGTGCATGAAAAACGTCTTACTCAGCTGTGGAAGTTGAGCTAAGAATAACAGAGGAAAAAAGATCATGAAGCCTGCTGTCATGTCTGAGACCTGACTGATTAATCCACTAGGTTAAAAATATAACATGACTTTACCAAACTGCAAAGGGTGATTGCTTTCTCCAGAACCTTGTTGCTTGAGACATGAGGGCGGTTGCCACCACATCTGCCACAGGCAAGTGGAATGGGGCGGGTCCAGTGCTCACTGTGGGGCTGTTTCAACTAGAAAGGGTAAGGCTGCGTGCCAGACAGCTTTTTTAAAGTTTTAAAGTGTGTGTGTGTGTGAGAGAGAGAGAGAGAGAGAGAGAGAGAGAGAGAGAGAAATACAGAATTCTGGAGGACATTGTAGGCCTTAGGTCCCTTAGAAAACCAAGAATGCACTCATCCGGGGAAAGCCTGTTTCTCCAGAGTGCCATGGTCTTTTGTGGTCTCCAGTGCTAATTTCTACATTCGCTCATGTGTGGCAAAATTATTCTCTTCCAAAATGCTGGCTTACCAGGTAGAAATGTTTGAAGTTGGAAAATCTTTCAGCAAGTTCCCAGATCAGTCGGCCTCTGTGCAGATCAAGAAGTCTTACTTAAAGCTCCAGAAAGGAAAACTTCTAGCTCTCCTCCTTGGCTGTAAGAAATGTACCTCCTTGAAGCCAACCCCAGACTTGGCTGAGCTTCCCAAGGACAGCTCATCATCTCTGTGTTTCAAGCATGGAGAAGCAATGATCCCCTTATCTTCAATTGAGTGCATGACTGATCTAGCAAGCTGCTTAGAGATCTGGTCTGCAACAGTCAGTCGGTCTTTTTGAGGCACTGACAAGTTGTGGTCTCACCCATTGCTTCTAAACCCTAGCTTCTTTATAGTCTTTTGGGGAAAAATCAGTGCAGATGACAGGGTGCCCTCCTCACACTGGTAACTTTGGAATTGGGTAGGCAAATCCTACCCAGTCCCAGTGGGACTGGGCCCAGGGGAGCAAAACCTTCTTCCAGGGCTGCAGACCATACATTGCTACTTCTGTGGAAATTCTGCAGAAATTCCCCAGGTGCGTTGCATGCTGCCAGCTTGGACCCACACAGCCGAGAATTCTTTGCTCCAAGTACATCATCAGTTAGCAGCCCTTACTTAGGAAGATAATAAGTATAAAAAGCTGCTCACTTTTTTCTGAGTAGAGAATCACTTGTCCTTTGGTTTTATTACTTCCTGTTGGGTTCTTGGTGGGAGATGTTACTGCACGAACTATTCATCTCTGTCCTCCCCGGGCTTGTATCCTGACCCTCAGCTTTCCGGACTCTAGCCCTTGGACTAGTGCAGCGGCTCCAGTGGGCAGCCAAGCCCCTGTGGCCTTCCTTTTCAAAGCTAGGGAGCTCCCCTCAGATTAGGATTTTGGAATTAAAAAAAAATTAGTTTTAGGGTGAACAGTAGAGAAAGGTAAGATGTACTTAGACCATCGGAGATGGGACACAGTTGAAAATTAGTTTAAAGGTCCTTTAGAGCCTGCTCATCTCCTGGTATAAAATTTAGCAAAGATTTCTAGGGTTTTCACAAGCCACATGAAAGTAGTCAGAACACGTTAATGGTAGAGACTAAGGATCTAATTCAAGTGGTTGAGTACTTGCCTTGCATGTGTTGTTAGCTCTGAGAAGTTTATCCTCCATAATGCAAAAACCAAACAAGACCAAAGGAAAGAGACTTAATGGTGATTAACAGCTAAGATAAAGCCATTGGGTACACGTTAAAACAAAAAGCAATGGGTTAGGAAAAGTGAGAGATTGTGAAGTACATAGGATTCCTGATATAGACTACTAAATTTTAACAATCTGTTTGGAGCTTAGAATTTAAATACTAATTTAGCAAAGGTGCTGGTGGCTCACACCTATAATTCTAGGTATTCAGGAGGCTGAGATCTGAGGACTGAGGGTCAAAAAGCCAGCCCAGGTAGAAAGCTCATGAGACTCTTATCTCCAATAAATACCAGAAAACTGGAAGTGGTGCTGTGTCTCAAGTGGTAGACTACTCACCTTGAGCTAAAGAGCTGAGGGTCAGCACCCAGGCCCAGAGTTCAAGCCCCACAACCAACAACCAATAAATAAATACTAATTTTCATTTTTTGCAAAATTGTTAAACAAGGTTTATGCTTTCCATATCTGGAAGAAAAAATTGAGAACTGTAGTATATTATGAAAGCTATAATATATATTTGAATGTACTATGTATAATCATAGTTCACATAGCATACACAGTTGTCTGATCTGTCAGTGCAATTAGGAGCATTGTAAAAATTGTACCTAAACAGGCAATGAGCTCCAGTGTGGATCTTACTGGATTCTAGACATTTTTGAAGATAATAGCCCATTCTATCCTATTACCTAATAGATTGCCTTTTCCAATAAGTAAATGATCTGTTTGTTGCTTATTTGAAATACACTATAGCTATATAACTCAGGTTGGCCTTAAACTTGTGATCCTTCTGCCTCAAGCCTCTCGAGTACTAGGACTGTATTATAGACGTGTGCCACTATGTCTGGCTCAAATAAGTGGATAGTCTCCCCTAGAGATTATTTAAACAAGCAAACAATCAATAAGGGGGTTCATTCATTCAAGTATGTAAGTAATCTAAGTAATCTCTTTACTAACCAAGAAACTTTTAACATATTTTTGGAAAAAATATCAGTGCCATTTATGTGTTTTGCAGAAGAAAGGGAAGTTGTATGTGGTAGGAAAAAGTGCATTTTTATTCTTTGAGATGGTTGGTTCTATCTTGCCCTTCCATCCACAATTGAACTACCTTTTATTTTGACTTTTTTTTTTTAGATCAATACCCAGAAATTGTTGTCCTTAAAATCAAGGCTTTAAAAACTTACCCCTTATAATTTATTAAACCCACATCGATCCGTGGCCGCATGCCAGTCCGTTGCCTTAGGAAAAGCATCACGCCGTGTGCCTGCGGTAGCGGATACTGTTTTAAGTCATCTCCATACCTGTCTGCCCGCACCCAGCAGGCAAAGGTGGATTCATTTTCCCTCTCTGTAGTACTTACCTCAGTGTGCATGACCTGTCTGCCCAGTGTGTCCCTGACCCCTGTGCCGGGGTGTGTGCTTCACATCCCTACATTCTTTTCTTGTTGAATCGCCTTTAAAGGTAATTGCCTGAATTTCCCAAAGTACTAGCTCCTCCTCCAGTTATCCTCTATTTCATGCAATGCCAAGCCTGTTGGCTTCCATTTGAGAGACTATCATAGCACCTCGGTTTTTAAGTGGTCTAAACAGCCCCTGTTCAGCCCCACCTTTTATAGAGGAGACCCAGAAAGGCATGGAGTGAAAGTGAGTCTAGAGCATCACCTCTTCCCAGCCCAGTCAGCGATTTCCACCCCCAGCCCCATTTCAGGGTCTCTTTCAGATACTCCAGACTTCCCCCATTACAGCCGCACTCCTGGCACCTTTCCATCAGTTCAAAACTCCATGGCCCCAAATTAGTGTTAGTTCTGGAAAAAGCTACCTTCATGTTTCACTCCTACTTACAGTACTCCTACAATGAGCCAGGTGCGGGCAGCATACAGCCAGGCTGGAGGCGGTGGCGCCACTTGGCCTCATCCCTTCCTTTTATGGTCTTGGTTCTTGCCTGTTTTGTTTTGTTTTCCTTTTCCTTGGCCATATAGGTGGAGCAGAACTTGGCAGCTCACCTGAGGCAGCCTGACCCAACAGGTTGAGAAAGACAATTGGGCCCATTTGGCAGCAGGAAGCTGCCATTGTGGTAGAAACAGGCACCGATGAGAACTTATGGAACAAAGAGTTTCTGAGTCACAAACCTTGGAATGGGCTCGCTGAAATAGGGGTTGGAGGTGGGGTGACCTGAGATGAAACACCAGTGAGCTGGGCGCCGGCTCATGCCCGAGACTGAGTGAGGATCACAGTTTGAAGCCAGCCTGGGCAGGAAAATCTGTGAGTCTCCTACCTCCAACTAACCACAGAAAAACACTGGAAGTGGAGCTTAGAGCTGTGCCTCAAGTGGTGGAGCAAAAAAGCTCAGGGACGGTGCCCAAGCCCTGAATTCAAGCCCTAGGACCAGCACCCACAGACAAAAAATAAACTAAAAATGCAAAGGGACTTCTTTCTCCCATCCTGAAGAGAGCAGGTTGCTTGTATCTGATTTTCTTGTGGCTCCTAAGCTAGCAAAACCTAAAGAACATCTTGCTTCCTGTTTTTCAAGCCTTGGTCTAGGAATTCCTTTTCAACTCCTTAACAGTCAGGGTTGCCTGCCACCATTTAGTGACTCTCTGGTCCATCCACTGAAGGCCATAGGAGGCCTGCTTCCAGGGAGCTCAGCCGTGGCCTTCAGCTATGTGGCTTAGTTTTTGAGCCAGCTGACACATGCTGAGTGCTCTGGGACTGACCCTGGCAGAAGAGGACAAAGTTCCACGTGCTTCAGTGTATGAGGCCTGTGGGCATGAGCTCAGCACTGGCAGAATCGCAGAAAGGGCTTTTGCTTTATGGAGTTTAATGGCTTCCTTTCAACTAGTTATAGAGTACTGTCTGCCTGAGAGTTGTTAAATACCCACATGCAGCTAATTGTTCCAGTAAGCTGTAAAGGGCGGTGTGATTAAATGGTCACCCTGGGTGAAGTTCAAGTGTGGTGATTTCTTGTTTGTTAGCTCTTCTCTCAAGTCCCATAGCTAGCACAAGCCAGATTCCCAACTTGGTGAACATTGATTCTCCACGAATCTTATTTTCATGGGTGTGGTTTATAAGATCTACCGCTTTGGTTTATAGTCAAAACTAGCATGTCCTAAACAACAGAAAAACACACAAACAAAAATTTATTGATACTTTACCCCTGGACTTTGGTGTTTTCTTGCAGAAGTAATTTTTTTGTGTGGTCTGTGTTTGGTTTTGTCTTGAGAACTTTGTGTCAGAGGAAATTACCTTCCATTTAAAACAGTGCTTTACTATCACTTGTACAAATTGGTATCTGTCCTTTAGCAGATTCTGACTTTGCCTAAAGATAATTTCCTACCTTCTTGCCCTGCTTGATAGACCAGCTATGCAACCTTTAAGAGAATTCCCTAGGTTTTTGTGACAGGGTACCTAGGCATAATAAATAGGCTCCTAATTGATGGAGTTTCTAGACCTGTCCTGGGTGCATATAGCCTCATTGCTAATAAGTCTTTCTCTCTCCACTGTAGTAGGCTTGTGTGGCTCTTAGCTCATGCCAGTACTGTTAGCTTCTGAATTCTGCTCCAGGAGTTGTTTTTTTTTTTTTTTTAATTTTATCGTAAAGGTGATGTACAGAGGGGTTACAATTACATAGTAAGATAATGAGTACGTTTCTTTTTGAACAGTGTTACCCCATCCCTCATTTTCTCCTATCTCTTCCCAAGTCTCCCGCCCTCCCCCCTCCCCCCACCCCCTCCCCCCTTTCAGGATTCTTTCTGCCTCTGGCCTGTGATCCTAGGAGAATCAGTGTGGAACTAAAGGCCTTTTAGTCAGGGTTAGGGCTTCTTATCTCACATACTCTGTCTCCTTATCAGCTCCTTCCAGCGGCCTCACAAGATGAATAGTTACATTTCTGAGTAACTGCTTTTATCTTATCTACCTGTAGTTGTGGTGACTTCTTTGCATTTACTAATTGGAAATTTAGAGCCCAGTTCTCAGATCATCTTCCACAGTATACTCATGAGTAACTGAGTAATGTGCGATTGTAAATTTCCTAGTACTCATATTTTTAAAAAAACATTGTGTGTGTGCCTCTCCAGGGGCTTGAACTCAGGGCCTGGGTACTGTCCCTGAGATTTATTTTTTATTCTTTTTTGCACAAGGCTAGATCTCTATCACTTGAGCCACAGTTCTATTTCTTTTTATAGTTGGAGATAAGAATCTCCAGAACCTCTTGCTCGAGCTGAATTTGGGCTTTGAACCCCCATCCTCAGACCTCAACCGGTGTGAGCTACCAGCACACAGCACAGATTAAATTATTTTACAAAGGGAAATGAAACTAGTGACAGTTCTAATAGCAATTGTATATTTTATCTACTGCCTCAAAAAATGTCACTTAAAATTTTAAGCAATGGGGAGTTGGAGGTGTGGCTGAACAACAACCATGCAATGCCTTCAGTTCAAACCCCAGGGTTGCCTCCCCCCCTTCTCCCCCCCCCCTCCACCCACACAGAGCAAAAGATTTAATCTATGTAAAAATCACATTCTCCTTCTAAAACACTGTCTTCAGAGTACTTCAGGGTAGCTTTTTGAGCCACCATGGGTAAATTGAGGTTGAAGCAGGAAGGCACAGGAGTAAACAGAAGCACTTTTCCAGAAGAGTCTACGCAAGGCTGGTTGGAGGGGTTTTGCAGGAGCAAGGAGGAGTTAGGGATTTTTAAATTTTCTATTTCTTATTCTTTTGAGCAGGTCAGGCTGTTTATTGTTGTCTGGCTAGACCTTGAACCTACACACCTTCATTTATTACTCTTTTCTTGGAGACATTCAGGAAAGAAGAAAACACTGCGGAGAAAACTGAGACCTCCCCCTGTCAGTTAATTGGATGCATTTGATGAATAGTTTTTCTCTTGTGGCTTAGGAGGATCCAGAGTTGGTTGGTGATTGTCCTAGATTGACAAGTGTGTCCCAGATTCTTAGTCAGTGAACTCACAGTTGGGGACTTATTTCTTACTGGGCAGAACAGTGAATTGAAGGGCTGCTCCATTCCTTTGGCTGCTGCGTGCTGGAGGGATAGAGTGCCGCCTTCCTTAGTTACTCCTGCACCAACCAAGTCCCTGTGTGAAATCCCCATGTTTGACACAGAAAAGGCTTTTGTCTTGAGGATTGCCTTGTTTGATTTCTATAGTTGTCTTCCTCCTCTTTTTTTCTTCCTTCTCCTCCTTCTCCCTCCTCCTCATCTTTTCCTTCTCCTTCCTCCTCTCCTTCCCTGATCCTCCTCCCTCCTCTTCTTCCCTTCTTCTTTTCTTTGGTGGAACTAGGCTTAAAACATCTCTTCTCCTCTCCCTTTCTTCTCCTTTTCTTTCTCTATTTCCATTTCTTTTCACCAGTCCTGGGGCTTTAACTCAGGGCCTGGGAATTGTCTCTGAGCTTCTTTTGCTCAAGGCTAGCACTCTACCCCTTGAGCCACGGCACCACTTCAGGCTTTTTCTGTTTATGTAGTGCTGAGGAATCGAACCCAGGACTTCATGCATGCTAGGCAAGCACTCTACCACTAAGTCATATTCCCAGCCCCAAACATCTCTTCTAATGACAAATAAGGGTACTGTTGAAAAACATTTCTCTCTGAATGTTACACAAACAATACACGAGTGGATATAAGCAGGTGAGTCTTTTGAAAACAGTAGGGGGAGACCTCATAGTTACCCCTGTGTCCATTAAGATGAATATGCATCATTTTTGTTTTGTTCTGATCCTGTTTTTTGTTTTTTTTTTTTTTTGTGATTTGAGACAGTCTCACTGTGTAGCCAAGGCTGGCCTCCAATTCTCCATCCTCCTTCTTCAATCTCCTGTGTGCTAGGATTACAGAGATGCACCATTCCCAGTGAATGTGCATGTTTTATTGATTGGTTTGTTTTGGTACAGGGCCTTAAAGTATTGATTCTTCAATATTTAGAAAATATCATGGCAAGATAAAGCCTACTGTTCTTGCTATAGCTACTGCTTCATATATTAATCCCTTTTCTAGGCAGGAGGAATAGCCTGCCTCTCTTCCCTCCCCCCTTCCCCTTCCCTTCCCCTCCCTTTCCCTTCCCTTCTCCTCCTCCTCTTCCTCCTCCTCCTCTTCCTCCTCTTCTTCCTCTTCTTCTCCCCCTCCCCCTTTCTTCTTTTGGTGCCAGTCCTGGTGCTTGAACTCAGGGCCTGGGTGCTGTCCCTCGGCTTAAGAAAACACTAGCTCGAGGCTAGTGATCTACCACGTGAGCCACAGCTGTACTTCCATCCTTTGGGTGGTTCATTGGACATAGAGTCTCATGGACTTCCTACCCAGGTCTGGCTTTGACCTGTGATCCTCAGCTCTCTGCCTCCCGAGTCGCTAGGGTTCCAGGTGTGAGGCCCTGGCACTTGGCGGAGGAATAATCTTTCTTCATGTACCATCGGTTTCACTGCACACCGCATCACCTTTTGAGTGTCACACGTGACCTCAAAGTACTCACAAGGTTGCTCTGTGTGCATACATGTCTTGAAAAGTGGAATTACTGTCTGCCTGTTCAGTTTTATCTGTACATCTGTAATACCTTGCTTTGCTTGTTGTACCACAATAACAGGGTTACACAGAAAGAGATTATGAGAACAAAAAAATCAAGTTGGAGAAAGAAGTCAAATCACAGTCTTCATCTTCTCACAAAGAGTCTTCTAAAACAAAGTGAGTATAAAGAAAGGTAACCAGGTCTTCTTGGGTCTCAGCAAAGGAAAGCATTTCTGAGGATATGTAACATTTGTTTCCTATAAGTCTCTCTCCCCCCACCCCCCCAACGCACCCCAGATCTCTTCAACAGATCCTTTGATAGAAAGTCAATATATCAGAAGCATTTTCACTAAGGAAAGTTTCCTAAACACCTAAATTAATCAATTTTTGGTAAAGGAAAGTACCAAAGTATGGAAAATACAATTTTTGTCCCTATTTGGTAGAATGGGCGAGAGAGAGAGGGGGGGAGGGAGAGGGAGAGGAAGAGAGAAGAAGGGAGAGGAAGGGAGAGGGGGGAGAGGGAGAGAGAGAGAGAACACAACTGCTCAAGGCCACATATTGTTAATGCGAGTGGAGCTGGCACGGATTTGGGAGCTTGGGTCCAGTGCTCTTTTTAGAGATGAGGAAGTGTCTGTCAAGCCTTTCTGTGGCTTTGGCATTTGGGCTCTCGGCCCCATGCACTCAGTCAGCGTTTTTTGCTTATGGCTGCTGCTCTACCACTTGAGTCACACCTTTACTTCTGCTCTTTTGCTGGTTAATTGGAGATATAAACAAGTCTGGTAAATTTGTTTGCCCAGGCTAGTTTTGAACCATGATTCTCAGATCTCAACCATCTGTGTAGCTGGGATTATAGGTGAGAACCACAACACCAGACTGCCTTTTCACATCTTATTAGGGAGAGGGATGGCAGGTGAAAGTTGTAGTGACAAGAAGGTATGATTATAAAATGTAACTTATTTACTCTGGCATGCGCATCCAGGAGCTTGCCAAAACAAAAACAAGTGCATATTTCATAAATGCAGGAGCCCACAGACATGGGGGGAAAGGGAGGCATCAGATGTGAAGGTGGCCGTTGACCTTGCCTGTTTGTCAGGACAAGGTGTGGACTGAGGAACAATTGAATAAGAGAGGTACATGGTTATCAAAAGTTGGGACCTGGAGCTGGGAAGGTGGCTCAGTGGTAGAGCACTTGCCTTGTATGCATGAGGCCCTGGGTTTGATTCCTCAGTACCACATAAGTAGAATAAGCAGGAAGTGGCGCTGTGGCTCAAGTGGTAGAGCGCTCGTCTTGAGCTGAAGAGCTGAGGGACAGTGCCTAGGCCCAGAGTTCAGGCCCCACGACTGGAAAAAAAAAAAAAAGAAAGAAAGAAAAGAAAAAAAGTTGGGACTTCTGGCAGACTCTGCTAGCTTAGTGAGAAGCTATTTAACTTCATTTATTACCAGTGGATACGGCTAGATTTGTCAGACATGCAAAAGTCCCTAAAATTCGGCCTTTCTACGACAGTTTTATGCTCTGGGACAGCATGATCTTTCCTGCCTTCATTTAGATGTTTATAACCAAACAAAGTCATGTCGTTTGTGGTCCTCTTCAACTTAATTTTGTATGATGTTTTACTCCAGGACACCCAGGCCTTCCTCAGAGCCTTCAAAAAAGGAAATGCTTCCTCCTCCACCTGTGTCTTCCTCTACTTCCTCTTCCTCCTCCTCTTCCTCCTCCTCCTCCTCCCAGAAGCCAGCCAAGCCTGCACACAAGAGGTCAAGGCAGGAAGCAGACAGCTGTGGTCAGGACCCTCCCAAAAGTGCCAGTAGTACTAAGAACAACCATAAAGATTCTTCCATTCCCAAGCACAGAAAAGTCCAAGGGAGGGGCTCCGGAAGCTCCACGGAACACAAAGTAAGTAGCAGGATCAGCCTGTGTGAAAATGGAATGCGTTGCTGTGTCTTTTCCAACTCCATCAAGTTAACTCTCCCCAGTGATGCACTCTACGGCCGTTTATTTGTTCATCAGTTTTACTTTGGAGCTGATGGCTCCCATTTCTTTTCTCTCACTTTTTTTTTTAAGATGTGCTTATTGAATGGCAGTTAATATTGCACAAAAGTCTAGGGGTCAATTCTGAAAGTGATTCAGAAGTGCAAATATGTATATATAATTTTTATTGCTTCCTTTTTATCAGATGTTTAACAATAAGAAATGGTTAGACCCTTTTTTTTAGATCTCAAATACTTTCATTTACTGTATATCAGAGACAAAAAAACCCTCTTATTTCTCAAACAAATCAATTACCTTTTCCCACTTAATCGGGGGAGGGGGGGATGTGTATGTTGACTAAGATGATTTTATGCTTTTTGTTGAGTTCTGTTCATGTACATTGTTGTCTTCACTCTAGTTAAGTCCCCGATATCAGCAGACTCTACAGCGTCAGGTCCTTTAGCTTGCTCGACCAAGCTAATCTGTAGTGTTTGATTTGCTCTTTTTCTTCAATTTTGGGCTGTTAAGAGGGATGTCAGGTATGTTGGCATGCCTGCAACCCCAAACACTGAGCAAGCTGGGGCAGGAAAGTCAAGAGTTCAAGGCCTGCTAGGCTGTACCAAAAGACTGTCTATGAAACAAATGAAAAAAGGGTGTGTGTTAACTTTTAGACATATAATATATATTATTTTTTTAAAGGGATTTTCTGGAGATACTTCAAATCCTTTTCCAGTGCCTTCTTTGCCAAATGGCAACTCTAAACCAGGGAAGCCTCAAGTCAAGTTTGACAAGTAAGAGTTCAGATGCTTTTATTCTCACCCTCCATCCTTTCCTGGACATGGTCCCATTGTCTGGTTTCATTCTGTACTTGCGCTCTTCCCCCCTGCCATCCTCTTTCACCGAGTCTTCTGTAGTTACCCCGCTCTGTCCTGGTACTTGAGGTTCACATGACCCCCTGCTTTTCTTTTTCAGACAGCAAGCTGATTTTCACATGAAGGAAGCAAAAAAGTTGAAGTACAAAGCAGAGTCTATGGTGAGTCTTGGCTTTCGTCCCTTTGGTAGAAATACACATGCACGCACGCACACACACACACACACACACACACACACACACGCACACACGCAGGTTCAAGGTCAGCAAGAGGGAGAGGTGGAGGGGTGTCTGGAAGATCTGGGGTTCAAGGACAGTAGGAGGGAGGGTTGTTTGGACCCACTATTGGCTGAGGTGTGAGCAAGATAACCAGATCTGCTGACTGTGGGGTAAAGGGTATTCATGGAAGACTTTGGCTCCATTGACTGAATCTGATCATGGGGAACTGTATGAAGTGCCTAGTCACATTTCCTAAGGAGTGAACATGGGCCTGCCTGGTGGAGAGTTGATATATGGGTGCTTTTTTGTCCCGCTGAATCAATTCTTTGGATGTGAACAGTAAGTTCTGGGAAGCCTTTTTATATTCCAAGGTTATCTCAAAGCCTTGATTCGTCCTGAAGGAATAGTTGACCAAGGACAGAAAATTTAAGGTTTAGGTACTGATTGTATTGCTGGTAAACAAGCCCTGCACATGTGAGTTCCCCTTACTCACTGGCCTTTGAATTTTCTGGAAGGTAGTAGTTTGAGGTTAAGTTATATACATGGTAATATGTTTTTATATCCCTGCTGCAGTTTATAGAGATCATGTTTGTCATATTTAAAACCATCTTTCAATGATTAAAGTTTTTTGGGTTTTTTCCCCCTGAGTGTGTTTAGAAACCTAAGCTGCTGTGAACAAACCCCTCCCTCCCTGGAGCAGTGTTTGGCACCCTGGTCTCAGGACACAAGCACCTGGTGGCCCTGCCCTCTGGAATTCAAGCCTACCTGTGCTCGCCAGGCCCTCGGGGATCGGGTTGAGGCTGCCATGGCAGGTGTCAGGATATTGTCCTGCTGTCCATCTACCTCAGCCACAGACATTCAGCTTTTGTCCAACACTAGGAAGGGGCACACTGATACCTTCTAACAGGCAAAATGGCCTGTTTCTCTTTTTGTGCTCTTTGCAAGTCCAGAACAAGCTTGTTGGGATGACCCACGCCAGACCATGGTGCTCTCTACTGTCTCCTTGTACTGCCAACATTGTGACTGGACGCGTGTGTCTCTTTCAAGCTTTGGAAGAGAGTAACCAGTGCCACAGCCAGTTATCTAAAACTTAACCCAACACGGGATATTTTCAACATTAGATTCCCTCATTATTCAATTCACATTAGTACTCTAGGGAGATTTGTTTCCAATCTATATATAGGCAGGTCTTTTTTCATAAGGTGGCCATGTGTCCCGGGGCACTTTAGTTAGTCCTACAGTATGCCGCTCGCATTCCATTGTAATAGGTAATTACATACCATTTTGTTCCCATCTTCTGCCAGGCCAACCAATAACCTGTATAATCACACTATGTCATTTCTCTCCATTGCATAATGTCTCAAAGCTGTGCTCTTGGCGTTCCAGAGAGCAGAGGGCCTGGCTGAGTGTAGGAGGGCAAGTGTCACACAAGCTCATGTTTATATGGAGCAGGGAGCCTGTCGCGCTGCAACTTCACAGCATTGCAGCATTTCAGGGGAGTTGTGCCAGGCACAATCTCATTTTTAGCTTGGTGAGATATTGAAGGAAGTGAATATTGTTGACTCGTTGCTCTCTGATCCTCTGCTTTGCTTTGCTTCTGCCCTTCAGCCAGTGTTAATTTTGGAAACTTCATGAGAAAGTTTCAAAAAAGCACATAAAAAAAAAAAGCACCTTTTTGAGAACTAGATTCCCATCAGCGAAGCAATGAGTCTGTCCTGTATTGCTGATTAGCTAAGACATGTGAATCTGGCTTTTATTCTTTTTTATCACTCATCTTCTGAGTCTGGTCTCTCTGGGAAGAATTTTTATTTTATTTTATTTTATTTGGGTCCAGTCGTGGGGCCTGAACTCTGGGCCTGGGCGCTGTCCCTCAGCTCTTCAGCTCAAGGCTAGCGCTCTACCACTTGAGCCACAGCGC